TGCTACTCCTGCTGCTACAGCTCGTGCAATGATATCAGCAACTTGAGGAGAAAATTCCTGATTCTCATTTTGAGTTGGGGAAATACTGCGATGCTAGTTCGCATTTCTTGTCCCACGCCGAGACATCCTTCTTTTAAATTCAGAAAAATCTAACGTCAGTACATTATAATGGACCGACTAAAAGAATACAAAGAACCCTAATATTTAGGCTCTAATTATCAGAATACACAACGCGGAAGTATAGTAATCACAGATCCCTAAGACACTCGAACCTGGAATGCTCTGATACCAACTGTAACACCCCTAACATTTTCCACGCATAAGTTAATTAGGCTTATACACGAAAAACGAGGGATATCAAAAACAATTGGCAATATACAAGCATGGAATACAAAATGATGATAATAAAAGAATTTAGACAGGAAATGAACCCTAAATAATACAACATCCATCCATCCTTTATTTAATACCGTACTTCATTACAACTTGGAAATCCTATGTCAAGGATCCCTAAATATAACCCTGAGAGTTCAACGTCAAAAGTAAATAAAAACTGAAACTGAAGTATTACATAAAACTTCTACCCTGCACTGGATCGTAAGAGTAGATGAGTTCGGATGATGGTCCCACACTGCTAACCTCAGGCTTGAAACGGATACTGACCGTATCCTGAAATAACAACAATGGTGGGTCAACCCCACGAGCAAGTCCTCTCTACTATGACCCAAATCAGAGAATCAAATAAATTAATCATTATGAATCGGATGAGTACTATATCTGTATACATCCTACGGGAACTATCCGATGTATAACATGACCTCAACCAAAATAGACGGTGATCATTTAGACTCACACTAAGTGGTCAAGTGTCGCCTTTCCCTACCCGGGAAATCAGCTATTATACATGGTGCACGGTACTGACAACACAGACTATAACGAACTACACAGTGATAACACCTCGCAAAGTACTGATGAATATACTGAGCATATCAATTAGGCAACACATGCCAACAATATTAATAAATATACCGAGAATGTCAATTAGGCAACACATGCCAATAATATTAAACCACATACCCCGACAGCCACACATCTATCTATCGCAACGAATGCATAAGGTATAAATGAGTCTAAACTTATTAGCCAACTCACATGGTTCTATATGGCAACACATCCATACAATATAAATGCGACATAATAAACAGTCCATTTATTCCCTGAAATGCACACAGCATAATAATCATGGTTTATATATCAATTAACAGTATAAACATCCTATAAGATATCATGGATAATTTATCTGACTAAAACCATGGCCTTATTTAATTTAACAGTAATGTTTGATACCATTTAATACGATAATAACACTATTTATATTTAACAATGTCGTTAAATAAATCACATTAGTATCCGTACTGTGAACGAGCCAATAAATGCTTAGAAAAGATTAATCGGTCATAAAAATAAGTAACGGGTGTTAAAATAATAATTTCATGGCCCGTTAAACCCGTAAATACCAACACAGTACCTAAAAATCCAAGTTTAAGGTTCTGGAATTTACAAAACAGGCCCTAGGGGTATTCTGGTAATTTCCAGCAGTTGTAGGGACCCCACACGCGCCCTCACGCGCCTCCCAGAGCCTCCCCACGCGCAGCCCAACCTTCCCCACTCTCCCACGCGCCTCCACGCGCGTCTGGCATCAGCCACGCGCCCGCACGCGCTCCCACGCGCGTCTGGAGCGTTCCACGCGCGCGCACGCGCTGCCACGCGCGCACTAAGGGTACCTTGCTGACGCGGCGTGTGCTGGTTGGTCGGTTGCATCATCCTACTATGAGTGCGCTACACTGAATCAGCTCACCCTCTCATCACTCAATCCTGTGCTTATGGATCCGGGTGTACCGTGGTAACATGGACCGCGATGCACCGGATCAATCAGACTCTACTAATGGCCAGGATGCGCGCGCGCACTAACCTACCATGCGCCGCATCACACCGGATCACTCCGGTCACCTTCTTCACTGCCGGTGGCAGGAATCCTTGCCGGAGGCTCGCCGGAAATTGCAGAAAAGCCCCGGAAAATTCCTAAAAATTCTAAAAAAAATCCCAAAGGCCATAATAATTATTTTTAGCTATATTTTGATTACATAGGCCATAAAATAATTGTTGACCACCTTTAATAATTAAAATTCCTTTCTTTAATAAATAAAAAAAAAATTTAATTTAATAATTTCCTAGCATGATCTCTAAGCTCTATAATTATTTAAATAATCTAAACAATTAATTTATGGATTCAAAGGGGAAAAGTAGATAATAACTTGCCTTTTTGGATTTAAAATAAATCCGCCGGTCTGCGCGTAGTCGGGTAAATTCCCTACACCGGTCCAAGCTCCTTTCTTTCTCTCTCTTCCTTTCCACACTTTTACAATGGCTCACTAGAATTTTGCTCTTCTACTTACGTGAGTTTCTTTCAAATTGTAACTAACTAACTAATATATACTAATTTATATAATATATATAATACAAATATCTAACTTAAATATTAACTTTCAACATTCCCACCTATATGGCTTTAAGACAATGCAATCTTAATCAAGATATTTGATCCACCATTCTACCATAGTAAATGAAATTCTATCCTAATATTTAATTTTCCATCATTACATTGATTTAATATTCTTATTATTATAACTATTATTATTATTAATAAACTTTTATAATTATTATTATTATTATTATATTATTATTATTATTATTAAACTAATATAATTATTATTATTACAAAATAATACATTATATCATCATAATACTATATAACACAAATATAATACTTTACTTAACTAATAATGATTAATATAAGCATAACCAACAAATAAAATTATTAATAATAATACATGCATAATTACATGAACAAATTTACTATTTTAACATACACAATTAATTTACATGCACAATTAAATGAACTTAATATAATAATATAGTATGCACAAATAAATAAAATTAATTAACCTAACACAAAATTAATTTAAATACATTCTTTAAAATTACGGGGTATTACATTTAACTCGACGAGCATTTGGCGGTAAATTCTCCACCCTGACCTCCTCGTGGTGAAGATCCACGTGGTTATCTCCCTCTTGCTCACCTTGATGTGCTTCATCAGGCTGCACGCCTCTTTCGCCCACCGGAGGCAGTTGCGGTGCAACCGGAACTTCTCGGCACTCTATTCTAGCTCTTTATTCTGCATTTTCTTTTCTTAGAGCTTCGATCATGCTCATCAGTTCATCAAGCTTCCTCTACTGGCCATTTTCCACTAGATTCGAACTCTCTCCTCCGATCATTATTCCGGATCGTAGCAAAGTCATTAACCGCAAATTTCTGATCAGATCTGAACTTTGCTAATGTGAACGCACTAGATCTGGATTCAAGCGAACGCACTAGATCTGGATTCAAGCTTAGCTGAATTTCGACCGTGATTGGCCGGATCTGAATTGCTCCGACAACAAACTCGCCAAATTCAGCAATCTTAACAAATCTCAACTGCACAGCTCACCAGAACAAGCACAAATCAGAACTGCGTAGATCGAACGCCAACCTCTCAAAATCAACTGGAATTGAGATTCGGCCAGACAAATCACGATTTCACCGATCTTGATTCTGTCTTCAGTGATCGAGCCTCGTCTTCACGAACTACACTGGATCGAATCAATCTGAATCGAACATCAATCAATCCTCATCGAGTTCCCACAGACGGCGCCATTGAAGATGCAAGAATTCTCTTTCTCTATTTTGACAGAGTTTCATTACACTTCAAGAAATTTTCCTCCCCTCTCCACTCTCTTTTCCTTCTATTTATAGGCTATTTACAGTTTCCTAGAAGATTCCTAACTAACTTCTTCCACTAGGTTCATCCTCGAGGCTTTTGCAATAATGGGCCTAATCATCTTCAGGGGCCTTCAGCTTCACTCTTCAGCATTGGGCTTACCTTATGAAAGCTTGGTTCGGGCTCAGGTCAATTACCAGGCCCATTCTTCATCATGTGAGTTGGATCCGGCCCATGCCGCCTTTGGTATCCTCAGTATGATCCCGCCTACTTTTCACCTATTCTTTGCGTGAATTCACGGGGTCATAAGAAGTGTGCCTTAGACACTTCCTGCTAAGCTTATGCTCACCCCATATTTTTAATATTTTTCAGGACACAGAAAAGAGATGGCGGATGATGATCCACCACAATTTTAGACGAACTTGGAGATTTATTTTATTTTGCTATATTTTATATTAGAATTCTAATATTTTGTAAATGTAATCTTAACTATTTTGTGAAACTTTAGTTTAAATGGTATAATATTGTAAGTTATGGACTTTTAAATTTTAGTTACATTTTATGGACTGTAACTTGATGTAACTAAGGTGTGTTCCTTATTTGGATGAGATGGAAGAACGAAACTTTTTAAATGTATGTAATCATTTTGGAAATGTGGTATAATATTTGTATTGTTCGTTGAGACATAATAGATTAGTTTTAAGGCCCAATGAGGCCATTGCATTTTTATGTATTTCAACAAGTTGTAGAGGGACTTTATCTGTGGAGGTCATACCGAATTTTTATATATTTTATTATTATTATTATTTTGGTATCTTTTGGGTCGTTACATCTTCAGCATTGCAAGGGGGACTTTTATCCACTACGGCCTGAATGTAAGGCCCACTTAAGATTAACCCAAGTTTAAGAGTTTTGAGAGAGGTATCAGGACAAATGTACATTTCTATAAATAAAAATTAGAGAAATGGAAAGAGGGATTGTGTGAAGTGTAGTAGATAACTTTCTGAATACACACAGCAATTTCTGATATCTTCGCCCATAAAATTGTGCAACAATAATAATGTTAACAAAGATTATACTTACAGGACTAATCCAATCAATGTAATTAATTAAGCGTAATTAATTAAGCTACTTAGACATAAGCAGTCCAAGCACGACAATTGAGGCTATTTAGAACAATCGAGGATAAGACGGGACCTGTACCCAAACACACTTTCTGCGCACATCCGTTTCAGCGAACTTCGAATTTTCCCCGAGAAACTGAAAGAGAAACACAGCAATTCTAGGACAAATTCCACTGTAATTAAGAAATAGTACCAAGAAGAAATCAAAACCTTACAGGAAAAAAAAAAAATATCCATGGAGAAACCACCGTCGAGCTCGAACGGCTCGCAAGAGCTTCAGTGCGTAGGGAGATTGGAAATCGTCAGACCAAAACCTGTTGGTTTCCTCTGTGGATCAATCCCTGTTACCACAGACAAAGCTTTCTACGCTTTCAATTCTGCTCTCGTTCCCTCAACCGAAACGTAATGATTATCTCTCTTCTCTTTCTCTCTCTCTCTATATATATCTATATTTATGTATATATTGTGTGTAGTTAACTGTTTGTTTTTGTTGAATTGCCCAAGTCAGATTGTGATGTTGATTTTGTGTGTTCTTGTTTATAGAGTGAGTGCTCCGCGGTATCGGATGTTACCGACGCAGACCGATCTGAATATGCCTCCACTTCTTTCTAATATGACGGAAAAGGTTCTTCCAGTTGCAGCAACACAACCAAAGACCAGTGGGGGTGAGAATTTTGAGTTCCTCAAACTATTTATGTGCTTCAATTTTATTTTCTTCAAATTTTGTATTCTGAATTTGTTTGTTTGCTCTGGACGTTCTATAATGTAGTGGAGACTTTGTTGGACACCACACTGTTGAGCAGTTAAGAGTAGTTTGATAAAAATGTTGATGAAGATGATGTTGTGTATGGGAGCACCGAATTGGCGCCTTGGATTTGGAACTGGAACAAATTTGGTTCAAAGTTTTAACTAAATTTGCTCGGATTCCAAATCCAAGCCGCCGATTTGGTGCTCCCGAACATAGGATAAGTGTAAGTGTATTTTGATTCGTATTGAGTAATTTGAACCAATTTATATGTTATGCAATCCATTTTATTTCTGAAAATATCACTTGCTAGCAAGACAGGTTGTGTGTTATTGTTTAGATGCAGAAAAATGTTTGAAACAAGTATGCAAAATTCCTACATCTTTACTAGTTCAGTCCCAATCCTTATTGCATTTCCTTTTGCTAGTCACTTTACGTAACTTGTTTGAGATGGTATTCGTAGGTGTATAGTTGATTCACATTTCAAGTCAGAAGGTTAGGGTGGTAAGTGATTAGAATGGCAATGGACCCATTTCTTGCTGCTAAGTTCTTAAGATTTTCATTTGCTGGAAATTGTTTTGAAATAGGATTTCTTTTTAAAATAGGTGGGTAGATGTTGAACTGTATCCTTTGTATTTTTAGAGGATAAAAAGAAAAAAACCAAATGTTTGAAGGAGAAACGGAGATTGGATAGCATTGAATGAAATAGGTCTTCAGTGTTTGTTTGTCATCCAAAAAAAAAAAAAAAAAAGGGCTCTCAGAGATGCTATTGTTGAAGCCATTGTGAACTTTATTATGTTATAGGTAAGTAAACCTTTGGTGTTGATCTTTCTTGGGATTCACACCTCATGGAGCCTACCAGTGGATTACATGTCCATTTATCTAGGTTATGCATGCCAAATTTTAGTTTCATGGAGCATCTGTAGCTGAGCAGTTAAGAAACAATATTTTCACAAAAATGTGTGTGGAAAAATGTTGATGTTATGATGGATTTGTGGTAATAAGACAAATTGAATTGTTTGCATTTGCAATATGATAAAAATTCAAGTATTGGAGATAAAATTTGAGAAAACCAGATAAGACTAATAATTGCACTAGTGAAAAAAGAACCCAAAAGAGTAATGCTACTGAAATGAGGAGACCAAATTTAAACATGAGTTAGAGATAGTTAGAAAAGACATTGCAGTGTGTGTATTTTTTTGAAATTATAATTGTACACAGAGCGGAATGGTAATATATTATTCATTTAGCCGATTTTAGTATGGACTAGGTTATTGACTTGAGTTGAGCTTTTTATTCTTATACCAATGTTAATTTTGGCAATCATGATGGGCATTCAATTGGATGATGGACTGGTGACATATGGACCCCATGGAAAGTTGTTAACAGATGTGATACATGGACCCTGTAAAAGTAGTTGAGAGATATGAGAATAACTAGTTTTTAAACCAGGTGTAATACTCTAATATGATTCCGACACTGTGAAATTGATGAAATATGCTTTTGAAGTAATGGGAAATTCTAATTTTGTTTGCTTGAGTTTGATGGATGACTGGGTCCAAAGGTCTGAAATCTTTTATGATTGAGTTGGAATCAGGTTGTTTAGTCTAGAGTCCTGCCTTAAATATAACCCTTTTATTCTCAAATTGGATTCATTAAATGAGATTATGTGATTTACCAAAACTTCTAATCGGAATTATTTTATTTCAGTGAGGCTGGCAGGGATATGTCAATTTAAGAGCTTTATCCGTGCCCTCTCGCTATGAAATGTGATTTTTAGGCTTCAGCTTGGAAAACACCTAGTCCATTTGAGCACTTGATTTCCTTCAAGTGTCAAGATGGACTTTTGGTTAATGCCCCCACAAAGAATTCTTGCTGTTTCAAGCTAGCTAATTAAGGACCTGGCATAAATTTATCGCAGAATATGCAGGTGGATTCAACCCCTTGCACCTTCTTCATTTCAGAAATATTATACTCAGTTGGCTGCAATGCTATTAAAAGAGTCAAAAGCTTCTCTGGCAGACATATAATATAATGAAATAGAAGATTTTTTTTCTTTCTTTCCTTCTTTTTTGTATATTTCTTTTAGATAGAACCAATTTATTATGGGCATGTTTTGACAAAAGTGTCACCACTTTATCTAGCCGATACTAGTCCCAAATCACTTTCTAATTTCTATTAGGCCACTAATCTTATACGACATAGAATCACATGCACTAAAAAAGAATCAAGAACTACGCATCCATGTTGCTGAAATGGGAATGCTGAGGTTGTTGTTAGAAGTAAGTAGAAAAGACTAGACTAATAATCAATATGTAAGAGAAAAACTAGGAGCGGCACCGAGAAATAAAGTAAGAGAAATTACATTTAGGTGGTATGTATTATATAGCGTAGACTGCTAGATGCATTAATGAGAAAAAGAGGACTGCTTAAAATAGAAAGCAGTAGAAAATGATGCAGATCAAAATTAACTTGGGAATTGGGATGGATTAATAAGTAAAGATCCCAAGAAATTATATTTAATAGAAGACATAACTTATAATAGAAAAATGGGGACTTGAGAGAATTCATGTGGCCAACCGCATTCAGTTGGATCAAAGCAAGGAAAATGGTGATGATGATAGTTAATACACATTGCTAATCTAAGTAGCTGGATTGAAGCCTGTGTTTATTTTGTCTCCATGGTCCTATATAAAGCTATAACTTTGTGCTAAGACTGTATTCTGTGTTCCTCATGGTCCTAAAACTTTGTAATGGTTGTTGGAATTATCTCTTCAGGGTAGTTTTGCAATAAAAATATGTGATGCCTTGAAATCTGGATCTCTGTTGTGACTGGCACATTATGCCTTGGACCAAAAAGTTGTCAGAATATTCTTGTGGTTTCTAGGTGTTGAAGTGGTTAGCTGCTTAATATTTCTTGTTACGACTGTGAGTTATAGTTGTATAAATTTCCAGAAAAAGTTGCCCATCCTATTTGAGATTTACATAATATAGCTAATCTATACTTTATAATGCTACCACTCAACTATGTTTCTGTAAATACCTATCAGATAATTGCCCTTTATTCCTCTTTTCTTATTTTTAGAGCTGAACTAACTGAAGTTAAAAAATTTGTGCTGATACTTCAGATTTACCTTGGGAAAGTGGTGCTATTACATCAAATCTCACCAGGAAAGGGGAGACCCTTGCTGTTTCTGGTTTGGTGGAGTATGGAGATGAGATAGATGTCATTGCCCCAGCTGACATTATGAAGCAAATCTTCAAAATACCATATTCTAAGGCTCGATTGTCAATCGCAGTTCGTCGTATTGGACAGACTCTGGTTCTGAACACAGGGTATGTGTTTGTATACTAGTTCTGAACACGTAGTATGTGTTTGTATACTAGTTCCTTTTTCATCTCATTATATTGCTTACCATCTCCAATCTTCATGTTTCACAGGCCTGACATTGAAGAGGGAGAAAAATTGGTTAGAAGACACAACAACCGACCAAATGGTGCAGATCAATCTTTATTTTCGAATTTCGCAATGCATTCAGTTAGGATGGAGGCTTGTGATTGTCCACCAGCTCATCAGGCCCCACCAAAAGAGCAATCAAACTCATCTGTTATTCCTGGGAGATTCAATTCCAGTGAGGGATTGCTTAAGTCTTCGAATCATCCAGTGCAAGTTCATAAATCCCAGTTTTTTGGGCAGAGTGATGACATTGCTCAGGAGGGAGGGTTTGACCATTGTCCAGAATACCAACAGGTCAAACAGGATAATTTTTTTTGGGGAAGTAAAAAGAACAAGAGAAACAAAGGTCATGGTGCTGTCAAAAAAGCTACCCAAGTTAAAGAAAAGCCCAGATCCTCAATGCAAGAGTCTGAAAAGTACAGAAGAGCTGGGAACGATGAGTTCTTAAGGGTTTTGTTTTGGCAATTTCACAACTTCCGTATGCTCCTTGGCAGTGACTTGCTTCTATTCAGTAACGAGAGATATGTTGCAGTGAGCTTGCACCTGTGGGATATGTCACGACAGGTGAGTAGTTAACAAACAAACTGACTTCAGAACCCCCTCCTTCCACATGTTATATGCTTTCTTCATTTTTCTCCCCAAATTTGACAGGTCACACCATTAACTTGGCTCGAAGCATGGCTTGACAATGTCATGGCTAGTGTGCCTGAATTGGCTATTTGTTACCATCAAGATGGTGTTGTTCAGTGTTATGAGCTTGTAAAAACAGATGATATATTTCTATCAAAGGGAATCTCTGAAGATGGTACACCTGCTTTTCATCCTCATGTCGTCCAACAAAATGGCCTTTCTGTTTTGAGGTTTCTCCAGGCTAATTGCAAGCAAGATCCTGGTGCTTATTGGGTACTGTTGTGTTTTATATGATTTATATTTTCATTTTATAGTTTCTTGTCAGATTGGTGGTAAACATTCTTGTTGTTTTGTGACTTCATAATTTGCAGCTATACAAAAGTGCAGGAGAAGATGTCATTCAACTTTTTAATCTTTCTGCCATTCCCAAGAACCATTCCCCCAATGATTGTGATGATAGCTCGGCCTCTGTGCCATCCCTAATTCATAGAGGGAGAAGCGATTACTTACTGTCACTGGGCACTCTCTTGTACCGTATCGCTCACAGGCTTTCACTTTCAATGGTGTGGTATAGCTGTTTCTTTCCTACATGCAATACAACATGTATCTGTTTGTTACTGATGACTGGTGGTTTTGTTGCAGTCTCATAATAATAGGGCTAAGTGTGCAAGGTTTTTCAAGGATTGTCTCGATTTCCTTGATGAGCCAGATCATCTGGTACTTGTGTTAAGAATTAATGTTTAGTAAAAGAGTTGTTATCATTTATGTTCTAAATTTTACTTTTTGTTAACAAAAAGGTTTAAATATAGCAACAGAATTGAACTTAATACCGAATCATACGCTGAATAGGTTGTACGCGCATCTGCTCATGAACAATTTGCAAGGCTCCTTTTAACTTATGATGAAGAGTTTGATTTATCATCTGAAGCACTTCCTGTAGAGACTGAAGTGACAGTTGTTTATGCTGAAGAAGAATCCTTGGATCTTTTTAATAGTATTTCTGAACCAATTCCTCATGAGATTGTCTGCTATCCAGTTGGAGATTATAAAACTGATCCTACTAAAGACACAGAAACTTTTGATGATCCTGGATCAGAATTTCCTATGAAGATGACTATGGATGCAACTATATCTGCTTCCAGAACACTGATAGAATCAGGCGAGTCAGACTTGGGAGATCCAGTAATTAAGCAAAGTTCTGGAAACGACAGCTTTGCAGTTTGCAATACGTCTACCGCTGCAGCTTGTACTGTTCAATCTGTTGCTGATCCAATCTCCTCAAAGTTAGCTGCAGTACATCACGTTTCTCAAGCTATTAAGTCTTTAAGATGGAAACGCCAACTACAAAGTACCAAGCCAGAGCTGGAAAATGGTAGCAGAACTCAGGATAAGCCTCCTTCATCTATGGATTTTTCTGTTTGTGCATGTGGTGATGCTGACTGTATTGAAGTTTGCGACATTAGGGAGTGGCTTCCAACATCAAAACTTGATGATAAATTGTGGAAGCTTGTTCTTTTGCTTGGAGAATCTTATTTGGCACTTGGACAAGCTTATACGGATGACGGCCAATTACATCAAGCTTTGAAGGTTGTAGAATTAGCATGTTTGGTTTATGGATCAATGCCTCAACATCTTGAAGACACAAGGTTTATTTCATCAATGATCTATAGCTTGCCATCTCAGACGGAAATTAATGGCAGAAGTGATAAGACTAAATCCTTTGGAGGTGATGCATCAAAAGTAGGCTTTAGTTCAGATGATGATTGTCTCACTTATGAGCGATTCTCTTCCACTTACCTCTTCTGGGCCAAGGCATGGACACTAGTTGGGGATGTGTATGTTGAGTTCCACATGATAAAGAGTAAGGATATTGCAATACAAGCGGATAGGAAACCTGTTACCAGAGAGTTGAGAATGTCATCTGAAGTTTTAAAAGAGGTCAAAAGGCTCAAGAAGAAGCTGGGACAATCTAACCAGAACTGCAATTCATGTTCCTTAGTAAATTGCAGCTGCCAAAGTGATAGGGCCAGTAGTGGCAGCAGTGCGAGCAGTAGCACTGGAGATTCACGCCCATTAGGTTATGGCAGAAAGCAGAGCAAAAGATCGTATGTCAAGAGCAGCCCCTACTCACTTTTGGGGAACCCTGAAGATGACAGTATTCATGATAAAGTGGAAAATGGAACTAGTTCTGATAGTGGATACCTGAAGCACGATCAAAGTGGTGATACCCTAATAGGAACTTCTAATATAGTGACAAATGGGCCTGGGGAAAATACTTTGGATGCTGGTGTCTCCAAAAGAGTTAAAGGTACTGTGGAAGTAAGGTCAGCAGCAGCTGCTCAATCCGATTCTGCTTCGAGAGAAACAACCAAGGTAAAAAATGGTGGTATATTCAAATATCTTGGGGGTCCGTTGATTGGAGGTGCAGAATACAATCTTTCAGCTGCCCTAAGCTGTTATGAAGAAGCTAGAAAAGCATTGGGTGGAGATCCTCATGGTTCAGCGGAACTACATTCTGTGGCAAAAAAGGAAGGATGGGTTTGCAATGAACTGGGTCGGAAAAGGCTTGAAAGAAAACAATTGGATAAAGCTGAACTTGCATTTGCAGATGCTATAAAATCATTCAAAAAAGTCTCCGATCATACTAACATTATACTAATTAACTGTAATTTGGGCCACGGTAGACGAGCATTGGCTGAAGAGATGGTATCAAAGACAGAAAGTCTCAGAAAACATGCAATCTTTAGTAATGCATACAACCAAGCACTTGAGACTGCAAAACTGGAATATGGTAAATCACTAAGATATTATGGAGCAGCAAAGACAGAACTAAATGCTATTGCTGAAGAAGAAAATCCCGTGTCGAGCAGCTTGAGGAATGAAGTATATACACAGTTCGCTCATACATATCTGAGGCTCGGCATGCTTTTGGCAAGAGAAGATACTATTCTGGAGGTTAATGGAAGTGGAGCCTGGGAAGATTCTACCAGTCCCAGCATCAGAAGAGCTAAAAAAGAATTTAGCAAGCATGAGATCTCAGCTAATGATGCCATTAGGGAGGCGTTATCTTTGTATGAGTCACTGGGTGAGTTACGCAGACAGGAGGCTGCATATGCATATTTTCAGCTGGCTTGCTACCAAAGGGATTGCTGTTTAAAGTTTCTGGAGTCGGATAAAAAGAAAAGCAATTTGTCTAAAGGTGAAACCATTATTCTCCAAAGAGTCAAGCAGTACGCTTTGTTAGCTGAGAGGAACTGGCAGAAGTCCATTGATTTTTATGGGCCAAAGACGCATCCCATAATGTACCTGACAATTTTGATAGAGAGATCAGCTCTTTCACTAAACCTCTCAAGTTCTTTCCACTCTAATTCGGTACGATTTGGGACTTTCCTCTATTATCTACAATGCTTCTCGGTGATTTATGTTGTCCCATCTAGTTTGATGCATGCAAAATTAGATTTCTTAGCTCAATTTTACTGTCTCCAATTTGACATTTGTTGGTACTTTTTTTACCATGTTACATCTTATTGCTGTGGGAATTAGCAAAATATCAAAATGCACAACAACATCAGTGTTGTTTATTTTTCTATTCGTTGGCAAGAAACTCACGCACCCATTTTGTCCCTGCCGGGACTCGAACCCTCGCCATTCCCTTTGAGTGGTTGAGGAGATACCATTAGGCCACAAGGCCTTTGGTCATTAATGTTGTTTCTCTTCACATTGTCAAGTATCAGTATCAATCTAGATTCATAATCATAGCAAAATAAGTAAAGGTTGCATCCTGGATGAGCTGTCCTGGACAGTAGATGAAGCACATGTATTGGCTGGTAGATAAGGCATTTTGTTTCATCACTACATGATATGATACAGACACATTGTCACAAAGAAATCGTAAAAATTAGGACATGGCATCGTGAGGGCAAGACAATATAAAATATTTGCGTTTATGTTATACATTTGCATTTATAAACAGGTTACAGTCGTCCTTCCATTATCAAATACAATTGGACTTTTAGGAAATTATATGTAAGCTTGTAATCTTATGTCTAATCAAACTTTGAACTAATTCTTTACAGCGAAAAAAAAAAAGGAAAAAATAAATAAATAGAAAAAACCGTATCATGTGTTAGGGAGTGTCGAAGATCTTATGGGAATAGCTTCAAAGGAATATGATCTGAAATTTTAGACAGCTGAAATTCGTCCTCCTTTTTTTTTTGGGTGGGGCCCTGGGGGACTGATTCTGTCATCCTGGAAAAATCTATAATATGGTTAATGAATGAAGTTTTAAATAACTTTTACTTGTGAGATGAAGATAATATTCTGTCTCTATTTCTTCATTTCTTAAATAGTTCATGAATAATGAATGAAGCTTGCACAATGACATTTATGAATTTTTATTCGAGATTATATATTGTGAGATTTTGTACATGCTACACATTCATTATTTAAATTTGTGTTTTCTTCTCGCCTTTTTTTTTTTTTTTTGGTTTCACATGGTTATTTAGGAAAAGGGTAAATTACCCTGACCTCCCTTGAGATTTGGCTTAATTACTCTCGGATTAAAGTTTTTGTAAAATTACTCTAGCCCGTCAGACCAACGTTCCGTCACTTGAACTAAATTTTCTTGTGCATTTACTTAAATGCCCTCAACTTATAAGTGAGCAATTATTAAAATACCCCCAAACTTTTGTTGCATGTAGGTTATGTCTGCAATTTATTTCACATAACCAAAATACCCATGATTTGACTCCACTGACACAATCTTATCACTCCCCTTAATCAACCAAACGATTCATTTCTCCTTTCTCTTATCATTCTGAAGATGCCCTAACTCTCTCAAACACTGATCTTACCAGACAACAAGGGTTTTAATCTTTGATCACAAAGGCAGAGAAATGCAACTACTGCACATGGGCAAGTTAGATGTCCCTGTACATTGTACGCATAATGCGTATGCTTGTGAGGTTATTCAAGTAATTCTGATGCATATGTGGGTAGTTTTGGCATTTTAGTCTTTTATTTTAACTGACTTTAATGGTCTGATGGTCAACTAATGTCAGGGGTAAGTTAGTCAACCAAACCTTAGGGGAGGTTAACCATGATATTTCAATAAGTTTAATCCAATGGTAATTAAGCCTAACCTCAGGGGAGGTCGGAGTAATTTATCCTTAGAAAAATTACAAATACCTGCCTCATTCTAAGAGGATTGTCATTGTATTGCTTTAAGTTTTTGAAATTATTCATAGCTGCTTCAATTTTGCCTTCTGTATTATAGGCTTATAACAAGTAGAGCTGCAAGTTAGGCTAGCCCAACCCAGCCCAGCCCCAACCCAACCTCAATCCAAATCGGGTTGGGTTGGGCCAGACAAATTATATCCAACATGGGTTGTGGTCATAACCCGAACCAAATATTTTTGGACGGGTTGGGTTGGGTCGGGTTGATGGGTTGACTTTTTTTTATATATATTTTTTTTCGAAAATTTATATATATTAGATTTAATATATATATATATATATATTTGATTATATTATTATTAAAAATATATATATTTTTAGGGCAAATCATTTCAGCCTCCCCAGTCGCCTCCATCTCTATCTCGTTCTCAACTCTGAAATTGCCCTCTCTCTCTCTCTCTCTCTCTACAACTACAAACTACAAAATCAACAAGAATCAGAAGTTCAAAACCCATATATTTCAGTTCAACCGAATCTCCAGACACTTAACTTTTCTATCCTCGACTTTCCTCCTGACAATTTTCTGTAAACTTTTCTCTTGGGTCTATCACTCTTTCTACAGTCTTATCTTTTGACTATGATTCATTCCAACTGCGCTTACCTTATTTTAGAGATCTTGCCCATAAAATTATCTATCTATCTACAAGAATCAAAAGTTCAAAACCTATTAGCTATATAAAAACCCATATCGGCATATCATTTCAGATTGTTCAAAAAATCAAAACCCATTTCTTTCAGTTTCCATCGCCCGCTGTTCCAGTTTGGGTTCGCCGTTCGCAAGCTTCAGCCGCTGTCTCTCAACTCTCAAGCATTCCCCCCTCTCAACTCTCAAGTTTCGCCGTTCGTTTTAGGATTACAGAGAAATGCATGGACGGCAGCAGAGAGAGAAAGAGAAAGAAGAGAGAGAAGAAGAGAGAGGAGAGAGAGAGGAGAAAAAATATATATATATATATATTTTTATTTTGGGTTTTGGGTTGGGTTCAGGTTGAGCCCGAGTCCAACCCGAATATGTTTGGGTTTTGGCAAAACCCAACCCGAACATGAACTCGATTTGTGAATATAAGCCCCAATTTCAAAATTTCTGGGTTGGGCTGGGTTAGCCCGCCCAAGTTGCAGCCCTAATAGCAAGACAAGTAGATAGCTTCTCCCTTGTATATGTCAATTAACTATGCATATTAGCAGAGACTTGAGTACTCTATTAAGTGCAGGATCTGTTTGGAAACTTGCATCACATACGGAGTTCAAAGTTTTACTTAATGAACTAACAAAAGGAAAACATGGGGTCTCTTGATGTGGTGATATGGCATTGGTTAGGTAAGGGTGGGGATTGTGGTGATACAGTGCGAGTTAAAGGGCAGAGGTGTTCTTGTGGTTTTAAATCAGGGGATATATGAGAATCCAGGACACACACATGCACACTCAAGCAGGGACACTTCCTCATGCGCACACACAATGATATATACAGGCACACACGCACACAGAGTTTAGAAGGTTCTCGGGCTACAGAGTATTCTACTTAGCGTATAGCCGGACAGCTGCTAACTTGGACATGAAACAATCATAAATTATTGAAATATCTCAAATCTGCAGAATTTTCAAAATTGATTTAATTGTGAAAAGTTCTACGTATCAACTGTTTTAAGAACCATGTTGGGTCATTCAAAAAATCCCCAACTATCATGCATATCTATGCTGGATCTGTAGGTACTGTTAGCGTGATGTGATTTTTGCAACCTTCATTCTCCATTTTTTGAGCACATGCCTGAAGCTGGATGAGGTTAGATCCTGACCCCCACCCCACCAAAAAAAAGCAGGCATGCACACCATGTGAGGCTGTGGTGGTGGTGTGTGTGTGTGTGTGTGGGGGGGGGGGGGGGGGGGGGGGGGGGGGGTGTGTGTTATGGTGTGGGGTGGGTGTGGGGGGTTTGAGGTTTGAACAGCTTCTTCTTGCTGCTCCAGTCATTACCATAATCATTAACTATAGCTTTTTCATTGCAATTATTGTGGCAATAAATATAGTAATGGAAATTGTTCTTTCCGTTTGTCCTTTTCTAGATGCTATAAGTTATTGATATGTTGATTTTGCTTTAGATGCTGGAATCAGCTCTAAATCATCTGCTTGAAGGACGCCACGTCTACGATAAAACAACTTCGGATTCTTTGACAAACGACAATCCTGAGGTCTATGCTAAATTTTGGAGTCAATTGCAGATGCTGTTGAAGAAAATGCTAGCCACGGCACTTTCCACAAGTACAAACAAGTCTTCTCTTAATCCCCAGCCAACTCCATCTAATCGATCTGGAGACGTTGGAAAGCTCAGGGAGCTTTACAAGATGTCTTTGAAGACCACAGATCTCAGTCAGCTGCATGCTATGCACAGCTTGTGGACATCCTAATCAGAACGGCTTTTACAGTTCACACTTCATTTCTAAAATCTTCTGCCATATTTATTATATTCAAAATGTTCGTTCTATGGTAGTGTATGGTTTCTCCGCTTATAATCGTCATTTTGCATGATAGCCTAAAACCAATTTGGGAATAGGAGGATCTTGGATTCAGAAGATTTTGAAGATGAAACATGTGACATTTTATGTTGATACGCAGTTTTGATTATGAAATTTTCTGTATAAATGGGAAGCACAAGACTTATGATCTTGGATGCATGGTTCTGTTGGCTATCTGAGGTTCATGTTCAATGTAAATGTTATTGAAATCTTAGTATGTGGACATTATTTTCTTCCCTTCCTTTTAGCATGTGTGTCTCTCTCTCACTCTCTCTCTCTCTCTCTCTCTCTCTCTCTCTCTCTATATATATATATATATATATGTATCTATCTATCAGGAGTAAACATTTCAAGGTTATTCCCCTAAATGGGTCCAAATAAAGAAATTGCTTTTTTGTATCAAGAATGCGTTAGATTGACTAAAATTTAAATGGTGGTATCGGGTCTCTTAGAACACCTCGTGGGTTATCACGGGACACGAGACTGACTAGCTTCTAATCTATTTTGGGACCAAGTTCTAATAGAAAACTACACAACAACATTTGCTTGATTTAGAGTCCGATATTTCATTGTCCAATTTATAGTATAATCATTCTTGGTTTTCCTTCTTTTAACAGAAATTGTTGTGTTTATCCTTGAATTGAGTACTAAATCTATCTTCTGAGGTATAACAAACCTCATATGAGTGTATATATATATATAGACGTGTGTATATAATATATATATATAACTTGGTCCGCATAATTGATTACGAAATCAGACCCTTTTGGATTCGTTATTCTCGCACATCATATCAAAAAATGAAGATGACAAACAGCTTTTTGTTGGTTTCATTGGTGTTGATTTGGTCATCAGTAATGGCGGACTCACAGGAAACCGTTAACATGGTTTACACCGAGAAGCCCAATGGCGAAAACCAAGACTCCTATAACCTCCATACCCTTTCTGCCGTCCTCGGCAGGTTCATTCTCTCTCTCTATACATATTCTGTATATATATTCTCTATATATATAATATAATATATATGTGTGCGTAACTGTGTGTTGATTGATTGTATTAGCGAGGAGAAGGCGAAGGATGCGCTAATTTACAACTATGAAAGTGTTGGTGGATTCTCTGCCAAACTTACTCCCGAAGAGACCGCCCAAATCAAAAGTGAGTTTTCTTTTTTCTGTTTTTTTCTTTCTTTTTTTATTTTTATTTTTATTTTTTAAATTTATGTAATTAAGTTATACTTGTTGTTTTATTTATTCTGTAGTCAATTCCATATACAATGAATATGATTGATTGAATATTTTTGGGGGCATCTTTATCAGACCCACATTTTATTTTCCTTCATAATCATCATAATTTCATGAAAGCATATATCATAATAATATAGGCTAATTTCATAAAATCTCTATTATTTTCAAATTTTGATAATAAATTTCTAATTATTGGACTCGTTAATTTGGATGTAAAATGACAAATTTAACCTTACTATTTAAAGTTAAATTTAAATTTTTTTTTTTTTTTTCAATTACAAAAATACCATTGTCTTCTTCATCACCTCTCTCTCTCTAAAACAGACCCAAACCTATGGGATTAGCCTTTTTTTTAGGTGATAATGGCAGACCTAACAATTAAGAATGGAGATTAATTTGGAATAGACACAAACCTCTGTGTTAAAACAGTCACTGTTTGTGTGATTATGGGCGTTTTAAGTAAACTAATTTTTTATCAGAAAAAACTCTCCAACTATGTAAAAGAGTGGATATTTGGTCCAAAATACTCTTATTGTATTTGAATCATAATTTGTCCGAATTTCAAAAATTCATATCTCACAAACTGTGTATCAAAAAATTAAAAATAATATGTGCACGGAGAACTTATGAAACAAGGCTTCTAGAAATATAAAATTTGTGCAACAAGCCACCAAAATCAGAGAGAAATAAGCAATCTAAGAATTTGCTTCCGCAGTCTTATTTTATTTTTATTACTTAGGATATTTGCAATAAAATTTTCAAAATTATTCATTTGCATACGTAGCATAACATATAAAAAAAATTTCAGAATTATTCATGTCCTGTGGAGTGGATCCTGTGCCGCTAGAATATCGCTAATACACTATTATATATACATATATGTTGTATATATTAGAAGATTTTGAGCAGTTGTCCTGATTGAAATATATATATTTTTTTGGCAGAGCAACCCGGTGTTCTTGAGGTTGTCCCAAGTAAGTCAGCCCAGCTGCAAGCAGGAACTCATAATCTGAGAGTGTGAAAAACTTTAAATTCTCAATGTTTAAATGACTATATCTATATGTTCACAGCACTTTGTATTCCAAGTTAATGTACACTCAAAACCACTCTTAATGCGTGTTGTCAATTGTATATTTAGCTTTGTATAGCAAAGTGCTTGTGTAGATTATATATATATATATATATATATATGCCAAATTGCAATTGTGATTCTTTACTTGTTCAAACACAGGGATGTTATGGTCACAAACCGCTTTTGTTTTCATTGGATTCGAGATTTTCCATACCAACTTTCTCAGTGTGTAAGAAATTATTTAACACAAGATATATTATTTAACAAAATGCACATTCGATTGAACAAGACAATATTCATAGTAACATATATTATATTATAAAAAATTGTTAAATAATATATCTTGTGTGTGTAAGAAATTATATATACAATGTGTTATGATATTATAAATTAATTTAAATATAATATTTATGTATAATATAATATAGTATAGATATCGTATATAATAATATAAAATTTCTATTGCATAATAATTTACTAATATTATATAAATTAAATAAATAATATATAATTAATTAAAATATAATATTTATATATAATATAATATTATATAAATATCGTATATAATAATATAAAATATCTATTGCATAATAATTTGCTAATATTATATAAAATAAATAAATAATATATAATAAATCAATTTTTTTTCTCAAAAGATAATTTTACACTATTATATATACACATTATATATTAGAAAAATAATTTTTTATTAGATAAAAAATAGTTTACACTATTATATAATATGTATATAGAAATATTAGAAATAATAAGTAGTAGTATATAACATGAATTTGTTTGAAATGAATAGTGCATGTGTTTTTATAATATGGCTGCTCCAATGAAGATAGATTGTGTGATGATGTTATTTATATTGCTAATGAGGGTCTCCATTGGGCTCACGGCCCAGGCCGGCGCCAGCCCAAGCCCAAGTCCACACTTGTTTCGAAGCGTATTGGTCTTTGAATAGGTTCAAATGAAGCAAATCACATTGATAAAAAAAATATATAATAATAAAAAGGTAAATTACACTTACACTTTAAGTTTTGGTTAAAGAATGCCATCTATAATTTAGGTATTTTTTAATGGCGATACTCTTAAGTTTGATAAATTGAACAATGACACTCTCAAACCAAGCTAAAAGTACCTTATTGTCCTTTGACTTATGAATTTACTTATTTGAATTATTAATTTACCATTTTAACATTCTCAAAGTATTTTAATGGACAAATTAACATATTCTTCTCCATACCACAAAATCTGAAAACCCGACACAAAATTCAGAACCTAACCACCATTTGATCAGTTGAAAAGGATGAGTTGTGTCCAAAAATATAGATGTGAGACCCTTATTTATAAGGTGTCTCTACCCTTTTATTTTATTTTTATTTTCTCCATCCCACTCTTCTCATACAATAATGAATTGCCAACTTACTCGTATTGGGTGGTAGGAAATGCCATCTCTATTTTTATTTTATTTTTTTCATTTTTCTGATAGTGTTATAATTCTCCAGTATGCCGTCATATTTATAAAATAATTCAAAGCCTTTGTTTATTAATCTCAGGTGTGTGAGTGTGGTTTCTAAAGCATTTGTTTATATCAAACATATCAAAGTCTGGGAAAAGGATATAGATTTTGTTGTTGTCCATTGGTAGTACTAGATTTTTTGTAGTACAACACGCGTGTTGTAACAGAGGAGGATCTGAACTAGTTCACTGCAACTGGTCTTCGAAAATGCCCCGTACACTTCTTTCTCACCCGGGCCAACAACATTATGTTATCAAACAAACCTTTCCTCTATATTTTGTTACATTAGCCCGGGGCATTGAAAGAGATCTTGGTTAATCATTTATTAGAGTATCTGGGGTGCGGATCAAAGTAGATAAGATTTATGTAAAGTAGAGAGAGGGGATGGAATGGGCAAAAGATGGAGTACGAATTTAGTGGCCCCCACATGCTCCTATCTATCCTATTGTCTATGGATATAGAATCGTATATGTTATATCCATTTGTTTAGAATATTTTATATGCTTCTATCTGGTCTCTTCTCTCGGCATCAATGTTTTTTTTTTTTTTTTTTTGGTCTCTTTGCACAACATTAGCTATACCTTTTGCCTATACAACTCCCTCTCTATGGTTTTTCAATTTTTCGGTGATCTGTTTTCATTCTTCAATGGCTATTTTATCTCAACGGCTCTTTTATTATTCAGTAGTTTTCTTCACTCAAATGGCTTTTTTATTTGTTTTTTCAAAAAGACACTATAAATACTAATTTAACTCTATTAACAATTCTTATCTTCAACAATTATCTCTCTTAATATTTCTTTTAACATTCATCTCTACTGATCCTCTATCTCCATTCTTTCGCCGCCATTTCAATCAATCACATAAATACGAATTACCACCGCAATCCATTATAATTTGGTTTCTTCAAATTTTTTTCAATCCGAAAATCTATCTCAACCCCCACTACTCTTACTTTCCATACCCACCACATTTCCAATTTCAAATTTTTTTTCAATCCGAAAGAAGTAGACTTGATAATTGAAAGAAGATAGAATGAGTGATTTATATAGAAATTGAAATATAGTCGTTGGGAATATAGCCGTTGGGAATATAACAGTTGGAAAAAGACAAAAAAATAATAAATTTAAATTTTTTTAATTTAATTTTAAAATTAAATTAATAAAATAATTATAAAATACTCTCTCTGTCCCAATATAAGTGACGGAGTAATAATTTTTAAGGGGACATGTGGGACCATATATTGTCTGCCTGAAAAATTACTAAGTTACCCTTTTAAGTTTTAAATATTGAAGTTTGAAATTTAAACTCAAAGGACATTTTTGGAATGATGTGAAATATATTATTTTAAAAAAGAAAGTGGACACTTATTTGGGGACGGTTAAAAAAAGAAAGCATGACACTTATTTTGAGACGAAAGGAGTAATAAATAGATAATAAGATAATTGAATTCCACACCATGAAACATATTGGATAACAAAAAATAAGGAACCACATCATCACCTTTTATTAAAATAAAGCTTATGTGGCAATTTACATTTAAAAAGTAGATAGATTAAATATTTATAGCACACAAGATACTTTTAAGGATTATTTTCCTCTCTTTTTACAATTCTCGAAACCTTTACTTAAAAGACTTGAAAGTTATAACCCAATGTCCAGAGGCGACTAATTGCTAATTGGGCCTAGTGATGACACCATTCTAGTCAAAAGAAAAAACTTGCCCCAACTTCTATTAGTGCTTTAAGCAATAGTGTCCCTCACAAAGCTACTCTGTTTAACGTATATTGTTGAGGTGTGTGAAGAAGCAAACGACATTCTCAAGTAAATCACATCTCAAAGGGTCAAAAGCAATTCAGTCCTCATCAAGTGAAAACAAACTAGGCAAAGAACATAATTCACTACTTTAATAAATAACTCATATCAAATTGCACTTAGCATTTGTAAAAGAAAAACTTAGTTGGAAATAGAAATGGCAATACAAATTCCGGCACCTCTTGTAGCTTCCAGTGCTCCTCTTCCCTAATCCTCTTTCAGCCTCAGTCTCCATTTCCTCTGTGTGTGTGTGTGTGTGAGAGAGAGAGAGAGAGAGAGAATTCTCCAACAGCAGAGGCTGATAAACTGTGAAGGCAAAATAAGTATTGAAGGGTTGAAAATTTCCTACAAAACATGTTGGTATTAACCAATGGATCTTCAATTTTCATTCATCGGGTGTGGCGTGAGCTTTCTCAAGCAAATTTCATTTCACCATATCAAGCTGGTAACATGATCATCAACAGACTATAAGACTGAAACGAATGGCCACACGAAGGTGTTTAAATATATATCCTTTTCCTAATACATGACCGAAATGGCTCTAACAATTCAATCAGAAATCATCGTGTATAGAGATGCTACTATCAACATTCCATAGTACACCTATAGTCCAGAATTCCCATATAATCCCTACTGGGAGATCATACGGATTAACATACAGAAACAATCAAATGAAGGAATACATCTGCTTTTTGTGCTTTTGTAGGGCGAGTAATCAACTGGTGTGTATCACAAGCAAAGATGAAGACACATCCTGCCTTAAGGTTATCTAGACAACAAGGGTCGTGCACCTTAATTCTTTCTTGTGTCCTATAATCTGTGTTACAGTCAAGTAGTAATCATCTCAAGCTCCCTTTGATTAATAAAGCGGAGGGAGCCAGCCGGTGGCTATTATTCATACACTCGCTTCCTCTTTAAGAGGGTAGGAATTATGATGAAAGATCCATTGAGGAAAAGCACAGATAAGGTCTTGAAATCGTACAGATCTTTGACTGACTTCAGATCCCCAAGAGCAAGGCCAGCCTGAAGACAACAAAAGTAGAAGCTCCGGTTAGGTTAGAGTGCCAAAAGAACAAGCAAAATTAGCTTCAGAACATAGTTTACTACTATGGAATTGATTAATATTCTGTCACTAATAGGGGGAGGTGCAGGGTCCAAGTCTTAATTGGAACAGGTGTCCATTGTAAGCTTGCTTTAAAAAGCAACTCGAGCTCAACCCAAGATATAAAATCTTCAACCATTTAACCCGAGCGCAACCCAACCCGAGCCCAACCCATCCTTAATTTCTTAAGTTTGGGTTGAATTCGGGCTTGCAACTCAGGTTGAAATTTCGGGTTGACTTCGGGCTTCTAACTCGGGTTTGCTATTTCAGGTTAGAATTCGGGTTTGCTTAAATAACAAATGAAATAGCCATTTTAGGGTTACTAAAGGATATCCAGTGTATTGCATATATGTTACAATCACGTGAACTCACTAACTAACCAATCACATACAACCAGCACAAATATAAATACATGTATATAATATATAACATATATATTGGGTTCATTGTTCGGGTTCATAAGTCGGGTTCGTCAGGTTTTGTAATTCGGGACAGGCTCGGGTTGGGCTTCAGGTTGTCTGACACAGTAACCCGAGCCCAGCAAAAAATAAAATCGGAATGTTACTTTTCAACCCAAGCCCACCCGAGTTGCATCCCTATCTAATACTAACTAGAAGTAACAAAAAACATGCATTTGATGACCAGATGGTTCCTATCCTCTTAGTAACCACTTTGCCCTTTCACTCACTTTTTTTTGAACATTTTGATTGCCATTTCGTCCTTCCGTTGACCTTTTTATTTTAAAAAGAAGCAGGAATAGAAAAACTTCCTCTGTAAAGGCAACAAAGAAGATACGCTAATGAATTCAAATAGAAACAGGAGAATAAAATGATGGTAGAATTTTAAAAACAAATAATATTTTTACAAATTTATAAGTATATAAATTAATTAAAAACCTACAGTTCCCTATTTTAGTCAATGATAGATTTATAAACATCTTGTTATCCTATAATGAACATAAACCAATTCCATTAAATGGAAAAGAGAGGATAGAGAACTGAGTAGATATAGCCTGTAGGATAATACTAAACACCATGCTAATCTGACATTTAAGCCTAATCCAGGACTCTTTGTTATGTTACAGTCTCCTAAATTTTTTTTTTTTTTTGTTTTACAAATATTTCGTAAAGAACATGCCACGAGTTTTAAAAAAAAAGGGTTGATGGGTAAAACAGAATTTAGAAGAACCAATTATCAAGGATGATCTAGGTGAATATTGTGTACCACCAAACTCATTCTATATCAAATTTAGAGTGAAACTATACACTATAGTGAAATAGAAGTGCTTTAGCTCTTTCAGACAAATCTGGCATATAATCAAGTTGAATCTTGAATAATCGGACCGAGACTTTCAGAGAAACGATCAGGTTCACATATTGGTAAGGATAACAAATTACCTTCCGGCTCCCACAGATCAGCAGACTAATGATGTGAATCAATTGTTTGGCTTTTATAGTATTTTGATAATACTAAATAGCTACAAATTATATAACCAAGTGTGAAGTTTTACACTCTCAAAAAGATTACTTTTTAAGAGTTTTGTGTTCCAATACTCCAAGATTACTCTTAATCCTCAAAGAGGATGGGAGGGGTTCGAGCCCAGGAGTGGGCAAAAAGGTAAGTGTGTGTGTGCGTGTGAAAAAAAAAAAAGTCCTAGCTGAAGAAGGCAAGAAGCTACAGAAACATGGCCAACAAAAGGACACTAAATAAACAGAGTACACTACGTATCTCAACAAGGATGATAGGTATGTAAAGAACACATCCAATAACACCCTTTTAAAAGGATCCAAGATTACTCTTAAAAGATTAATCAGAATACCAGCTGTGTTGTTCTAGAAGAAAATATATATAAATAAATAAAAATGGGTGTGGGAACTAGCTGAAGAAGCTACCGTAACATGGCCAACAAAAGGACACTATATAAACAAAGCATACTACTTCATATGTAACATATATCAACAAGGATAGTCGTGTAAAGAACCCATCCAATTACACCCTTTTAAAATTATCCTGTTCATATCCACCTAGACCTCTATTATAAACGCAAAAGGAAATTGGTTTCAGAAAACTTGCATTTCCTTGACCACATTGGTATTCTCTATCGAAATAATGTTTCAGACTCTCTCAACTACAAGAGACTCCCCAAACTGGAGACAGACAGAGACCCAGAAAAATCAACTATACAACAAGGGATGGGAAGATTATCACATTAACCCTTCTTGGCAAAACCTTAAATATCATTATAACTTGTTAGCCAATGTCTATCATCTAGAAATCAATCCTTCCAACAGGAAAAACCTCATGGAAAAGCACCCCCTTTGCAATTTACTGGATTCCATTAATATCTTTAAGGAGAAAAAAGGACTTCAAGTCAAGGACAAAGGGACGAAAATCTTTAACCAACATGGAGAGCAACCCGAGTCTAAATCCAGTCAACTGACAGAAACAAAGGAACAAACATAATTGCCCCCATGCAACCACCAACCCACATCCTATTTCCTAACATACAGATCAAGTGGAACTCCACATGGGCAATATCCCGGTCATTAACATGCTGTATAACCCTAAAAGACCTAAGAGCAAAATCATCCTCCCTCTACATAAGCGCCCTTAATTTACATAGTCCAGAACAACTACACAACAGTTAAGGGTACTTGTGCTCTTAGAAAAGTCAGTGCGTCTCTGAAATGTCAATGGTGCCTACCAAAATTCAAATATTGTGAAAGAAAATTCAGAGGAACAAACATAATAAAAGAAACCAAAACCAACCACTGGTCCACTACCATAGCAAGCTAAAGTCTTTTTACTATAAAAAATAAATAAATAAAATTAGAAATGATGAAAGTCAATCTTCATAGAATGATATATTTTCAACATAGATGACTAGTGTTGGATGATTAAAATAGACTTACTCTGACAGTGATATATGAAGCTGGAATAAGTCCAATCACTGTTGCCAGAAAGAAAACATGAAATGGTATATCCACAATTGGAGATGCCAGATTGACGAAAAGGTTGGGCAAGGTTGGAGTAATCCTCAAAAAAAGCATGTAATTCAGCAACTTTTCCCTACGCTTTGATATCTGAATCAAAAAGTTTCAATTTAGTATGGGACCAGGAATTAGAGATATTGTGAAAAAATTCAATATATGGTAAATATAAGACAACTGCGATAGAGAACACAAAAAGTACCTCTGCCTGAAAAAATCTCAACTTGTCAGGCCACAACCAGTGAACTATGGGCCTGCCTATTAACTTGGACAGAAAATAGCAAGATGATGCTCCAGCCGTGGCATTAAAAACAACCAAGAAAAGGCCTCTGATAACGCCAAAGAGAGCTCCAGCTAACAATGACATGAAAATGGTGCCGGGAATCATAAATGTCTGCATGAATATGTATGTTGAACAGTATCCCAGAATGAATTTTGCTGGGAAAGCTTTAGCATATGTTGCAAGATGATGCCTGAAACAAAACGCAGAACAACATAATTCAGGGAAAGTATGACACAGTTCAGCATGATCATGAAAACCAGTAGAATTGAAGATCTAGACATCCTTAAATAAATAGATAAAACAAGGTAGTAAAGATCCCTTGGTTGGATTACGTTGTAAAGTTTTTGGATGAAAAAGATAACGAAAATCAAAACCAAATTCACAAAAGAAAAATAAAAAACAAACACTAAGGCCAAAGAACCAAATTCTTGCATGTGTGCTTGGCATGTAAGGAAATTCCTGATTCAATGTTTTCAAGATGTTGTAAATTATTCTTAAAATCGGAAAAAAATTTCAATTAGATGGTCCATAACATGTAATCATAATAGTGATAATAAGTTAAAATAGGTTTCTACATCCCTATTCATCATTTCAACTCAGATATAGCCATTGTAGGCCCCATTCTATGAGGGCTCTCCTTCCAAGTCTCTTTGTATTACCTGCATTGACTTTAAAAGGTATTTTATACTTGTCGGAGGCCATATAAGATAACTTTAACAAACCAAAACTATAGATAGGACAATCTAGTTACAATATTGTCTAATGAACAGGAAAAGATCTTTTCAAGATTTACAACTGCCATTACTTGCTCATTTCTCCAGATTTTGAAGCCATGAGCTTCAAAATATATCAATAAATTGGATACAAAATCTGTATGATCTTTTCTTTTCCTTTTATGTCCTTTTGTTAACTCTTCCACTCCCTCCCCCAATCAAGGTAGAACCAGAAAATCAAATATAATAAAGCTTAGCATAATGGAGCCAGCCCCCAATGAAACTAGCAAGCATTTAAATCAAGTCAGTTTTACTTTTTCCATTTTTTTTTTTAATCCTCTATCCTTAGTTTGATTTAGAATAATGGCTATGATTTGTTCCTGTAGTTTTCAAGTTAGTTCTTGGAACCACAATTTTCTGAGGCATTAGATTCTCATAAATGTTCATATTACTCAAGCTGACATTTTAGGGTTGTCTTTGTTTAAATATCTGTTTTATTATTATTTTTTATTTTTTTAGCTGTTTTCAGCCTTTTTGTTAGGTGTTTTATGTAAGATCTCAATTATCATAGATCACATAGATAAGATCCCCGTAATCATGGGATCACGTAGATAAGATCCCCGTAATCATGGGATCACGTATATTTTGACATATTTCATGTTTTTCTTTGATTTGGTTTCCCTTCTTTGTATCCTATTCTTGTACATAAATATAACTCTTGGCTCTCGGTTTGAGTAAGCCAAAACCCAAAACTACTTATTTTTGGTATCAGAGCAAAACAAAAACCTTCGCCTCCCCAACACCGCCATCTTCTCTCTCCCTCTCTCCATTTTTCCTCAACTCCAGTGCACCTCCATCTCCTCCCAACCCTTGCGCCGGACCCCTCGGGTAACCCTCTGTTTTTTAATCCTTTTTTAGGATAATTCCCTTAGGTTTTTTATGACCTAAGGGTCCTTCTGGCCTTTTTTTTTTTTCTTTGTGGGCTGCCGGTGTTTGTTCGGTACCATATTTGGAGGAAAGCGCGTCGATTTTTCTGCCCTTGTTTTTTTTCTCTTTCCTCCTGCTTTCATGTGTGGATTAGCCTTATTTTGGTAATATGACTGATTCTAGTAGCCAAAATGACACTTTATCCTCGATCTAGCATACTTTATCTTCGGCACATCATAATCCGACATAGCGGGTTACTAGTGTGCTCTTGAATGGGCGCAACTTCGTATCTTGGTCCCGTTCTCCTCAACTCTATATTGGAGGGAAAGGAAAAACTGGTTGGCTTTTGGGTCTAGTCAAGGAACCGAAAAAGACGAACACTAAATATATTGCATGGGATATGGACAGGTGCACCATCCTGGATTGGATCTTCAACTCAATGGAGGAGCGTATTTATAATATGTTCATGTTTCACACTTCTGTTTTTCGTCTGTGGCAAACCCTTAACAAGATGTATGCTCGTTCCCGCAATGATGCTCGTATCTTTGAACTCTATCAGGAGATTGCTCATGCATCTCAAGAGACACTCAAGCTCTCAGTATCAAAGTATTTTGGGTACCTCTAGTCTAGGTGGGAAGAATTAGCATAGTATGAACCTCTCTCCGATTTCTCTGAAGAAGCTGCAACTCTTTTGGTCAAGAGACTGGACCGCCAGCATACCTACTAGTTTTTTATAGGTTTACGATCTGAGTATGATGCTCTTAGAATTCAGATCATAAACCCCTCTCCTATGCTTGATTCATACGATGCCTTTGCTACTGTTGACCATGAGGAGCCTAGACGTCAGATCTCTCAGCCAGTAACTTTACCAAAGACTAGTAGGTATGCTGTGGGGGGTGTGTTATGGTGTGGGGTGGGTGTGGGGGGTTTGAGGTTTGAACAGCTTCTTCTTGCTGCTCCAGTCATTACCATAATCATTAACTATAGCTTTTTCATTGCAATTATTGTGGCAATAAATATAGTAATGGAAATTGTTCTTTCCGTTTGTCCTTTTCTAGATGCTATAAGTTATTGATATGTTGATTTTGCTTTAGATGCTGGAATCAGCTCTAAATCATCTGCTTGAAGGACGCCACGTCTACGATAAAACAACTTCGGATTCTTTGACAAACGACAATCCTGAGGTCTATGCTAAATTTTGGAGTCAATTGCAGATGCTGTTGAAGAAAATGCTAGCCACGGCACTTTCCACAAGTACAAACAAGTCTTCTCTTAATCCCCAGCCAACTCCATCTAATCGATCTGGAGACGTTGGAAAGCTCAGGGAGCTTTACAAGATGTCTTTGAAGACCACAGATCTCAGTCAGCTGCATGCTATGCACAGCTTGTGGACATCCTAATCAGAACGGCTTTTACAGTTCACACTTCATTTCTAAAATCTTCTGCCATATTTATTATATTCAAAATGTTCGTTCTATGGTAGTGTATGGTTTCTCCGCTTATAATCGTCATTTTGCATGATAGCCTAAAACCAATTTGGGAATAGGAGGATCTTGGATTCAGAAGATTTTGAAGATGAAACATGTGACATTTTATGTTGATACGCAGTTTTGATTATGAAATTTTCTGTATAAATGGGAAGCACAAGACTTATGATCTTGGATGCATGGTTCTGTTGGCTATCTGAGGTTCATGTTCAATGTAAATGTTATTGAAATCTTAGTATGTGGACATTATTTTCTTCCCTTCCTTTTAGCATGTGTGTGTGTGTGTGTCTCTCTCTCTCTCTCTCTCTCTCTCTCTCTCTATATATATATATATATATATGTATCTATCTATCAGGATTAAACATTTCAAGGTTATTCCCCTAAATGGGTCCAAATAAAGAAATTGCTTTTTTGTATCAAGAATGTGTGAGATTGACTAAAATTTAAATGGTGGTATCGGGTCTCTTAGAACACCTCGTGGGTTATCACGGGACACGAGATTGACTAGCTTCTAATCTATTTTGGGACCAAGTTCTAATAGAAAACTACACAACAACATTTGCTTGATTTAGAGTCCGATATTTCATTGTCCAATTTATAGTATAATCATTCTTGGTTTTCCTTCTTTTAACAGAAAGTGTTGTGTTTATCCTTGAATTGAGTACTAAATCTATCTTCTGAGGTATAACAAACCTCATATGAGTGTATATATATATATAGACGTGTGTATATAATATATATATATAACTTGGTCCGCATAATTGATTACGAAATCAGACCCTTTTGGATTCGTTATTCTCGCACATCATATCAAAAAATGAAGATGACAAACAGCTTTTTGTTGGTTTCATTGGTGTTGATTTGGTCATCAGTAATGGCGGACTTACAGGGAACCGTTAACATGGTTTACACCGAGAAGCCCAATGGCGAAAACCAAGACTCCTATAACCTCCATACCCTTTCTGCCGTCCTCGGCAGGTTCATTCTCTCTCTCTATACATATTCTGTATATATATTCTCTATATATATAATATAATATATATGTGTGCGTAACTGTGTGTTGATTGATTGTATTAGCGAGGAGAAGGCGAAGGATGCGCTAATTTACAACTATGAAAGTGTTGGTGGATTCTCTGCCAAACTTACTCCCGAAGAGACCGCCCAAATCAAAAGTGAGTTTTCTTTTTTCTGTTTTTTTCTTTCTTTTTTTATTTTTATTTTTATTTTTATTTTTTAAATTTATGTAATTAAGTTATACTTGTTGTTTTATTTATTCTGTAGTCAATTCCATATACAATGAATATGATTGATTGAATATTTTTGGGGGCATCTTTATCAGACCCACATTTTATTTTCCTTCATAATCATCATAATTTCATGAAAGCATATATCATAATAATATAGGCTAATTTCATAAAATCTCTATTATTTTCAAATTTTGCTAATAAATTTCTAATTATTGGACTCGTTAATTTGGATGTAAAATGACAAATTTAACCTTACTATTTAAAGTTAAATTTAAAAATTTTTTTTTTTTTTCAATTACAAAAATACCATTGTCTTCTTCATCACCTCTCTCTCTCTAAAACAGACCCAAACCTATGGGATTAGCCTTTTTTTTAGGTGATAATGGCAGACCTAACAATTAAGAATGGAGATTAATTTGGAATAGACACAAACCTCTGTGTTAAAACAGTCACTGTTTGTGTGATTATGGGCGTTTTAAGTAAACTAATTTTTTATCAGAAAAAACTCTCCAACTATGTAAAAGAGTGGATATTTGGTCCAAAATACTCTTATTGTATTTGAATCATAATTTGTCCGAATTTCAAAAATTCATATCTCACAAACTGTGTATCAAAAAATTAAAAATAATATGTGCACGGAGAACTTATGAAACAAGGCTTCTAGAAATATAAAATTTGTGCAACAAGCCACCATAATCAGAGAGAAATAAGCAATCTAAGAATTTGTTTCCGCAGTCTTATTTTATTTTTATTACTTAGGATATTTGCAATAAAATTTTCAAAATTATTCATTTGCATACGTAGCATAACATATAAAAAAAATTTCAGAATTATTCATGTCCTGTGGAGTGGATCCTGTGCCGCTAGAATATCGCTAATACACTATTATATATACATATATGTTGTATATATTAGAAGATTTTGAGCAGTTGTCCTGATTGAAATATATATATTTTTTTGGCAGAGCAACCCGGTGTTCTTGAGGTTGTCCCAAGTAAGTCAGCCCAGCTGCAAGCAGGAACTCATAATCTGAGAGTGTGAAAAACTTTAAATTCTCAATGTTTAAATGACTATATCTATATGTTCACAGCACTTTGTATTCCAAGTTAATGTACACTCAAAACCACTCTTAATGCGTGTTGTCAATTGTATATTTAGCTTTGTATAGCAAAGTGCTTGTGTAGATTATATATATATATATATATATATATATATATGCCAAATTGCAATTGTGATTCTTTACTTGTTCAAACACAGGGATGTTATGGTCACAAACCGCTTTTGTTTTCATTGGATTCGAGATTTTCCATACCAACTTTCTCAGTGTG